TAACTTATTAGGAGAATGGTCATACCATCGTCATTGACGTGATGCTTTAATAAATCTACTACAGTATGTACTGTAAATGTTGTACCGGTACTGTCTGTCTATTGCATTAGTAAAACGTATCCACTACATAGAAGTTTTTTCTTACCTCTATGGTCCATTATTTGGTTCGACACACTGCCTAGCGAATCTATCAGCAAAGGTGTGATCCTATTATACTGTAGTTGAACTCTTTAAGGAAAAATTTAATATTAAAAGTACGTTTCGGCATTTCTTAAATGCGTCATAGAGAGGTTATATATAAGCCACAACGATAACTAATCGATAAAGGAACTGCGTTCAATATCAACAATATGAGAAATCGTATTTCTGATAGTGATTTCCAGTATTGACCAGTTTCTCACCGTTTATCTGAGAAACTATAGCATATCGGTCGCCGTCAGTGGCTAATTTACAGCCCTATCACTACAATTGTCTTGACCCAACTTCCATTTTAGAATATTATCAAATAGAGTTGACATAAATAAATATCAATAGTATTGATGCAGCAAGAAGGAAGCGATTGATTGTGGCGATGTTTGAAGAATCAGTAAATTATTTCCTTCTTCACAAGGTTACTGATACAGTTCAAAGATGTAGTATTAGCTTTTGGGATCAAATAAATACCTCTGGTGAATTAATGTTAGTGGTCATGCTATACGCCTCACCTATAAGTATGTTTGAAATATGGCGGAAAATCTATTGAATTTTTATTAAAAAGGACATGACAGAGATTTATCAAAGTCGACTATTCTTCGAAGAAATTTTTCGGAACTAACAGTTTCAAATGATATAAAAGTAGTAATGTACGGCATTTTTTTATTCATTTGGACTATCGTTAAGAAGTAAGATAAAATTTAAACGTACCTAAATTGCTGGAATTGAAACATCTCGTAAAGGTAATTAGGGAAGTTTTTTTTGGCCCAATAAAGCATTCGTTCTAGTATGCATGCAATCAAGTCTAAATACGTACAGCAGATACATTTGTATGATAAATTTGCTTTTCGTCCTGTTAAGTAGAATTAAATTAGCTTTTAATTGGAAGCTTACCGGTTTCGTAATAGGTTGTTCTTAGGCTTCTTGATTTTATATGTTCTCAAATACTTATTATTGCCATTTGACAATTGCGATGTAAATAGCAACGCTGATAATGGCGTTCGGTAACATTGCTATCATACTGCTTTTATTTATTTTGGGTGTGATATAACGTCTCCGTATTCTCATGCATTATCGCATATCGGCTACTTTAATCCATCGTGTCCGTACATTCACACATTAGCATGTTTTAATCGTATCGCGATATTTATAATATACAGTATAACTAAATCAAACTGACTACAAAATTATGGTCAAAAGGCTAATCAACGTATTGATTTACTACTACAAAAATGTAGTATCAATGAACTTATTTCAATTGATACTCTATATCGTAACCATATTGCCTCTTTTATCGTCTCAACATCGAGTTTTAGTATATTTTCTCACTAATTTTACAGGGCTGCCGATTCATAACGCCTGATGCATACACACTTTCATGAAGTACCGGGCAACATTAGCAATAGTAGTTTATCAATTTCTCCCTGAAAAAGTAATACAATCCTTCTATTACTAATGCTAGCATTATAAAGATGATTCGAATATTTTATACTATTTACGGGTCTTGCTTCAGCGTTCTTATAATATGTATCAATTATCACCAAGCAGTAACGTCTTCGCGCTTAATTTGTTACTGTATTTGTGGCGGTATACGCTTTTTAATGTACTGTATGTAAGAAAGAAATTATGCTTAGAATACCGTACTTGCTCTATTGGTAATATGAAGTTGTATGCTTTTGCCTATGATAAAAGATAGTCACGAAATTCAACTACATCGACAAAATGGCATAAAATTTGAGGAATTGCGATTTTTTACCTGACTAAACATTTACACTTACTATAGTGTTGCCTTATACGTGAGCAATTTTCATCGTTAGAGTTCCGATAATACCGCTGACTTTATACGCTGTAAGATGTTGAAATAGACTATTTATGATTCAAATAAGTTATTGCACACGGTATGGCGATAAATAAGTCAGCCATTGTAAATCAAAGTGGTAAAGATTTGTATCATAGATACAAATTTGTATAAATAACTGGCTCAGTAACCTTGATGGTGTTAAACTTCGTGCCAATTAACGGAAAAATAAAATTTGTATCTATAATTGCTAAATATGGCTGTAGTAGTTGCATATGCCAAATTTGTGCTACTGTCATGTTAACCGAGGCTGTATTTATAATTTTTGAAGCTTATAAGTATCTTACTTTCTTGCCTGTTAACTTACCACTACTGCTAAAAATTGTATCTATTTATCATATTGAGTGGTTTCTTTCTTAGAATAATAAAGTAGCGCACTTCGTAAAGATTTATATATCCGCCCGTTTTGAAAAAGTTGTTAGCACATACGTATCATTAATAATTCTTAAAAGAATTTACTGCAATTATCCGAATACCTTATCATGAGTTAACATAGTAGTAATATTCAAGCAATAAATACTGTAGCTAACTGCTTAACTTATTGGCTATAAAATTAACTACGATATATTATATTTTTTACAGGTTATTGGTTCAATTCGTAGAGGTTAGGAAGAAGTACAGAGAGAAAACTGCCGCTACTTTCTAAGTGCCTGGAGACTCCATTGTGCCGGGAGATGATAGTTTGATTTAGAGTAACTTGCCTAGTTGAATGGATAAATTTATAATTAATTTTTCACGTTTACTATAAGCGCTATAGTCTGTCTAAAGATTTATAACGTAGAGGTTAAACAGCATGATTCTCACTTCTCAGTTACATAGCCGTAGCACCGCAAGTTACATTGTAAGCAAAGTTCCTATTGCTAGACTAGAATGAAAGCACTAAATTGGTGTACATTACCTTATGTTCATTTTTAATAGAATTTACTTGACATAATTTGATAATACTCGACGTTATGTAGTAGAAAAATTTTATTCACTAAAACACGTAGTAAATCTATTACACCATAGTACAAGAAATGAGAATTGAGTTACAACAGTCTAATTTTAGTGTTTATTTTGTCTTATTACTTTATCACACTGATTTTGACATTTTACCTAACATACCTTTTTGATAAAGTAGATGCAAACATGAAAATCTAATCTATTCAACAACTAATTACAAAGATACTATTTTAATACTTATGTCCATTTGAACCTACTGCTGGAATAGCAGATCTCAATTTGATTTATTATTCCATTGCATTTATATAAATACATTATGTTTTATAAAATTTAATATATACTTTCCCATCAGGTACATTTTATTCTGATAATAATGCTATTTAGCACGGTTCGCTGGCATCATCGGCTTTCAAATAATATTGAATTTAAATTTCTACATTTTTTAACGATTAGTCTTAATGCCGCCACCGATTCTTGAAAAGACAGAAATAAATAAATCAAATTGTTTTCTACCGGTGTGACATCTTTGATGACGCTTACAGAGATTGCAACTACCTCCACAGGAAAAAGAATCAGATGATTTATTTCTCCACTATCAATCGTCAATTTAGTAAATGGTGATAATCAACTTGAAAATGAAGACTCACAAATATTGCATAAAGTACGCGAATATTACTCTTCTTGTAGTATACAGTGAACTGTAACATGATAGTGGTAAAATTTTCTTGTAAACTTTTATAAACGCCAGCAAAATGATACTGTCGTGTTAATGCAAGGAAAATCTTTACCTGGATTCTATAGTAAGCCAACTTTGAATAATGTTAAAAAGTATACTAATATATTCAAGCGCTTTCATTCCCAACAGTAAGAATTAATGAGTGAGTTACAATGAACCACTGTAACCCCTTAACCGTATACTTTTCTCTGTACTGCAGCATATGCGAGTATAAATATATAATCAGAAGTAAACTGTAAAGCACATGAGCTATATTAGTAGGACACAGGATTCATATTATGACTGAAAAGTGATTTATTTCACATTAGTAAAGAATTATATTGGATACAAAAAACGTCATTGCAGGATTAAGAAATTGAATTAGATGGTCTTAAAATAAAGACTGAATTTATAAATATTACAAGAAACCAGAAAATGCTAGTAAGCGTAACTTTACCAATCAAGGAGCAACTTTATTACAGCTTACAAAAATGTTGGCCCAAGTTTCTATTTATTACCATATCAAGCCGAAATTGCAATGACGGGAAAAAATTTTAAAATTTACAAAATAATCGTAATGATCAGCTACTGAAAGTGGGTTTGAAGTTCTATTACCACTAAATTGTTGGAATTAAACGTATTCTTGTAAGCACTAGCCAATGCAAGACTGCTTAGATGTTCCAATCTGACGGATTTGCTAGCGCATGTGGTAATAATTAATACAATTGTATGCTCGCTACCATCAAACTAACAGTAAATCATATTTATTTCATACAAAGTAGGAAAAAAAATAAGACAATCGATTTCTGCCCATGTACGTATTATTGGCAAAAGAATTTCATTTATCATCAAGCTAACAGTAAATGCAATTTATTTCATACAAAGTAGGAAGAAGTAGCCCAATTGATTTCCGACAATGCATTATTGGCAACAATTCGTTTAATTTGAAATACAAATTGACAAAATGTGGGCATTTAAATGAACGGTGATCTACGTATAGTAGAGAGAATTACAAACATATCTTATTATAGAAACATTGACGTCTAGTATAAAAAAATATTTGTTGGAGAAACTGGAGGCCTCTACAAAACTAGAAACCAACAGTTTATAGTATTAATAAGTTGATATATTTTTGATATAAATATAGTTGCACTTTCATTGGCAACAATCATATTAATAAGATAAAGAGTCGTTATAAAGGATAAACTGGCAGTTCTTCTTTGAAATCAGCATACCTTGCAGTTTTTTCTTATCACACGAGGGTGATACAAGATGGCAATTTTTTGACACTTTTTAAGGTAATTTAGTCCTGGAAATTAAGCCAGACTTTTTACGACGGCTAGTTACTCTGTTACCGAGAACTTCTTTGCCAACTTCCCATGATAGTATAGGATGATCATCTTCAATCTTGCTATCATCTCGAATAGAAAGTTTATCAGCAGGGCATAAGTCGCCATTTTGAACAGTCAATTTGGGAAAAGAATGATTAAATACTGATTGAATACTGAAATTTGATTTGCTTATTTTACGATTCCACGAAGCTAAAGTGGATTTCTTGGTTATGGTGTTGTTATTCATATTTTTCTTATAAGGATGGAATGCTTGACCTCTACCAACTACTTGCGAGTTATAATTGATATCATCGGCAGTTTTATCCGGTAGAATATCCATATTCCGCTTGGTTTTCTTAGTATTCCTACTATGGTTGTCAGTCTTGACGCTATCATCTTGATGAATCGGGTTATTGGAGGGCATTTTTTGTAGATTGGTTTCTTTGAGAGCGCTATCATTAGCACCATCTCCACTTATTAGACTTGCACCGGTTGTACAATCGGTGTAACTAGAATTACTACTATGACTAGAAATGACGGAAACTGAACTACCCTCGCGTCTAATTCGAATATTTAATGATGAATGCGTACTAGAATCGAGACGACTGCGTTTTCGATTAGCCTTTTTACCGTTGTTTCTGACAGTAGTGGAAGCTAATCTCTTACTAGTTGGTCGGCAAAGATTTTTATTATCGACATCTTCCTCTTCACTTTGACTACTTTGTCGACTTGAAACTAACCATCGACTACTTTTATCCTTGCGTATAACTATAACATCTTTCATCACTTTATCTTCTTTAGTTATTAGCATGCCATTATTATCAAAATCTTCCTTATCTTGATTGACAGACGGCTGTAGACTTTTCCCGCTATTGTCAACAAACTCTTGACATTTTAAATTTCGACCTCTTCTTGTAGTATTATTTGCCAATGGTATAGTATTCGATTGCAAGTGATTTATGCCATTTTTATGAGTATAGCCTTCATCATCATCGGATGAAATGGATGTAGCACTTTGCAATCCAAGTAGAAATGATGACGTTGTTAAGATAGATCCTTCACTGGATTCTTCATCGTCTAATTGATCTAAATTGAATGATAATTCATCATCGGAAAAGACATCGTCGTCATCATTTTGATAGAAATGATGTTTGTCGTAATGGTCGATGTTGGAATGATAGACTGTTGCTATGGTTGGACCACCATTTTGATTGGAGGGATAAAAATCGTTTGTAGCAGAGGCGAGCAAGGCAGAATGATTGATTACGTTATTGGTATTATTTTTACCATTCTTCCTGTTGATGAATGAGCGCTTTGTACATTTAGCATCAGAATGGTTAGTATGGGATTTATTTTTGGGCATTTTCGGATGATTGGTGACGGACCCATTGGATGTCATTGGTTTCCGTGTAGTTTTGCTTGTTGTCGTTTTAAGTAAGTTACGATCAAGCAATGGCCTTTTATTGAAATTACTTCGTTTTCGATTAGGCGTATGAGAATCATTGGATTTGGAATATGGACGCTTGGAAGTGTTTAATTGCTTATTTTTTCGACGTTGGATCTTATCTTGAGTATAATTATACAGTCTTTCGACTTCATCGGTAGGTAGTAGAGTAGTCCGTGTTGCCGTGCTGCCAAGAGCTTTAATACCTTTCAACATATTCAATTCATCTAAAGTACAACTTAATTTTTTGCATTTTAACCTATCGATCCTATTAAAGGTGGTCATACGTGATGTATTTGGCCATAAGCGATCGTATAACTGAGTTAAGCAAAAATATTCTTTACCATTGCGTAGAATTACACCTAATTCAACATTATGGAATATTCGAATTCGGCAACGTTGACTCTGGTTATTGGTGCTCGTCATTGCAGTTGAAAAAGTTGGATTTACCACGACACGTCGACGTCGTTAGGATGTGGTTGGAAAAGTGTTGCCAATCAATTCTAGGATGGGAAAAAAAAAACTTGGCTTGAGTGATAAGCTGTCACCCAATGTGGTGAGCCAACGAATTGGTTCAACGTGGGTTGTAATGATCCAAGCGTAATCTACTACTGGAGATCCCCAAACTACAGGTAGCAAATTCCTAATTAGGTAGAGTGATTTGGTTGCTTCCCAAACAGTTCAATTGCAATGCATCGACCAGTTGGTTGGCAGTGGTCTGCACTTGGAGATCTATTGGATAACAACCACTGTCAAGGTTGGTTGGGATGATGAAAGCGTCATTACAACGTGTTCAATACACAAGCACACAACCAGTTTACTCTATCCAAGTAAGCTGTAAAAAAAAATGTTTCTTCCCCCTTCATTGGCACAAGGCCTTTTTTCACCGTTCTCTCCTCCTCCTTTTTGCAGTTGCCTTTGCCTTGACAAGCCCTTTGGCTGACATTTACCTTAAACTGGAAGAGAATCAATACGTGCATTCATTGTTATTCTAGGCAGTGCAGTACGATGATGCGTAGTGGCGGCTTGGACAAGGGCTAGATTGTGTTGAAACAGTCTTCTATTGATATTGTATTTGACTATGATGGAACAAGAAGATCCACTTCTACCTTGCAATGGCAACCTTATTGAATAACAATAATAACTCAATTTGTACAAGGTGCAGCATTGTGCACTTATCATGTCGCTCTTTTTCCTTTGACGATATAGTCATGGTATAGTGCCTCACTAATGGACTGTGTATCACCATCGATGGTGGTTGGACTTGGATCGATTGACCAAAGTATTGTCAGCGTCTATCTTCTACCCTTCAAAATGGTACAAGATCATCCGATCAATCTAACTTGAAAATCATCTTTCTCGTCATACATTCTTCTATTCCACATGTTATCATCGATGTCCATTTATTTTCAGCCAAAAATTGAAAGAGAACAACAGCTTGCGTAGTACTGTCAGGCTTTTTGATGCTAGCACTTATCATACAGTAGGATAGCCGGAATGGAAATCTTACGGCCTTCATTCTGGAGATAACCCCCCGCCCCCCCTTTCCCGAAAAAATAAAAATTAAAAAAAAGGCATTGCAAAACTCGTCAGTCACCAAGCAAAATGACAATTCCACTGAAGGGAGGATGATTTGACTCCATGCCTTTTCCAAGGAATGGACTTGGGTATTCAAATAGATACGTTTGGGGATGACTTTTTTGATTTGATGAAAAACGGACTGATGTAATCCGGTTAACAAAAAAACAAAATGAAAGAATAAACCAAGAATAAACCCCCAGCGGCGTTCATGCAAGGGGATATATCCAGTTCTGATGGAAAAAATACACGCATACATGCAATCTTGAATGGAGCCAAAATAATACCCATACTATTTCCATAAAGTTGGACAAACATGCAGTAAAACCTGTACGATGACCTACGGCAATGCATACGTATAAATACTATGGACAAGTTGTGAAATGGTTTTCATCGCCTGTTTGGGGGGGATACACTTGATGCGTATTTGCTAATCAACAAAACGGAGAAAGGTCAATGTGAGAGTTACAGGCGCCAACATTTTAGACGTGATTCAACAAGAAAAGAGTTGATGACTGTAGCGCTAAACTGTAGCCTACTTTCATTCCAATTACAGTAGCTGACTGGAGAACGAACCCAATATATTGCACTTTACGGAAATAGGTCGGTAGGCTTTGGTATTTGCCTACCGAGGATCGAGTGATGTATTTGATTCGATACGGTTGCTATGACTCAAAGTTATCATTTACTGTATTTGGAAAAGAAGAGGGATACCATATAGCATTCTCGTTCTATACTGTACAATAATTCACGATCAATACAGTGATAAATGACTCAATTCAATGGTATAACTATGTGTACAGCGGTTTAATCCATGTTGTACTATGACTCAAAGTTATCATTTACTGTATTGGGAAAGAAGAGGGATACCATATAGCATTCTCGTTCTATACAATAATTCACGATCAATACAGTAATAAATGACTCAATTCAATGGTATAATTATGTGTACAGCGGTTTAATCCATGTTGTACTATGACTCAAAGTTATCATTTATTACTGTATTGGGAAAGAAGAGGGATACCATATAGCATTCTCGTTCTATACTGTACAATAATTCACGATCAATACAGTGATAAATGACTAAATTCAATGGTATAACTATGTGTACAGCGGTTTAGTCCATGTTGTACAATTGAACTGTTTTTTTCCCTCTCCTTGGCTTTGGCAAGAGTGCCTTACAAGCCTATCGATGGTACAGTGTACACACATTCATGTTGGACATCCCTTTAACGAATGTCCATAACGCTGCACTTGTATATTATCCTTCCAGCTATCCTGCAAGGCCCTTTTTCAACGCATTTTACACTGTCCATCTTGGTATGGCAGCTAGAGACGCGGTTGGAATGGACGTGATATGAGCTGACCGTGTCTGATTGGAATTCTAGTTTTGTCGCTTTACCGGTACCATACAGTTGACCATGACCCAGTCACGCTGTCATGGCTCTGATGACCATACTACCAGCGACAACTTGATCGACATTATTTGGGAGTTTTCCAAGTCAACCGGTAGGGGTGACGAGTAAGGACACCCGTAGTACCCTAGACTGACCTGCATCATTCTTTTAATCATAATAAATTGACTGATTTGATTGGGTTACGCAGCATAGAGGTGGTTGTCACCTTGGTATAAACCAATAGCTAGCCGCTGTGAATAATTCACTTTTCAATCTGACCTCACCGTAGTACGCTACACTTGAATTCAGGTCATTTTGGGTGTCGATCGCATTATTGACTGACTGACGTACTTGACTCTACCATTGTAAACAGGATCGATCGACTGCAACGAACTAGTCTGCTTGAAGACAGCATTGATTGGCCACATTCATCCGATCCGCTGTAACTGCATTGTACCGTATGCCGCCGGGTCACCGATTGCACATTCACTCGACGTGATGGACTAGGATAACGTCAAGCGCACTCTGCTACCACGGATTGCTATGACACTTGTGCCTCACCACTCTTGTCTTTGAACTGCACATCCATTCAATTTCACTACCACTGATGCATCTGGCAATGCTTAGCAGACCGCCAAAGCGATCTGCTAAGCGTGAACTACGACTCGTCTACCCTGCATATTTTTTTTTTGGGGGGGGGGGATAGACTATCCTTTATTTTGGGTGGAAATAGCAATGTAAAAAATGGGAAACTACGACTCGCCATGACTTGGATGAGATTCATTTTACTTTTGCATTGAATGAAAGCAAGAGCGTGACATTGTCAATTCGCTGCAAGGCCAAGACAGCCTCGGTCGGGGACCATTGAACCCAAAATTTCCCAACCAAGCAGCGGTAACGAACAGGGGGGAAATTGGGGTCGAGTAGTCCATGGCTCTGTAAATCAAAAATTCCACAAGCCGTTTATCATCCCTTTATGCTGTCTTGGTGGCAATACTTTAATTGCAATCATTTGAATAGTCTTGCATGCTACAAAATAGGCATGTTATTATACACGGGTGGAAAATACAAATACAATATTTTGCCGGTAGGAGGCTTGACTTGCAGGCAATCTTTGCGTCAACTTGGTAAAGTGTCAAAATAATCGAAAGATACTGTATTCAATGTTTTATGTCTCAAAAACTGAAATACGATAGCTTGATATTTGTAGGGGCTAACCATGACAGTATACTTCAATCTTCCGTTAACAATATCCTATCATTTCATAACCTATATCAAACCTATTTGCAATACTATTCCAATATTGCTTTCGGGGGGATAATGCGATGGATGGACTGCAATGATTACAATACGAAAGCATAGTTTGAGACAGGTGGTAAAATGTTATTCGATCCAGTAAGTAATTATTGATGAAGAAAAATTGTTTTCACGTAAAAGCATAGTTTGAGACAGCTTGCAAACACAATTTGATCATATGGAAATCATTGGTAAAGGGAAATTGGTTAAGGTTCTGATCTGTTGCTTTTAACCTATCTGGGAAAATCAGGTAAACCTGCTTCATCTCAAGTACGTAACCTCATAATAATAGACCAATTATTATGGCAATCAACTATGCAAAATCACACTTTATGAATCTGTTGAAATTGCTTAGTGTTTTAGAAAACACCTAGTCTCCTGACGATGACTTTAAAAATAATCTTTTTCCGTAAATATTATGACTAGTTTAAATTAGAAATATTTCAAGTATTTGCAAAATAGTTTAGTCCTCTATAAGAATAGGTACCTTTGTTTCCTGACCTTGTGCTTTTACCTCATAAATCCTACTAATATAGTCTATACAATAGCAAGCATAGCATATCCGTCTATACCGCATAAAATCACGGCAATGATAGGTTAGTCCTTTTATTGAAATTTCATATCCTATGACTGAAAATTTGGAACCTTAAATTTGTACTTTATGTACACCCCTATTGTTGCCATCAAGTATCAAATAAGCAAGGACTCGGGAGTATATGCTCCTCCAATGGCCTAATAGACAGCTACTATTCAGTATTGTGATATCTAAGCGCATAACGCTGTACTTAAGCCAGTATACCTATTTCACTTCTCTTACTTATTTTAGCCCCATTAGCAAAACTGTAATCGTCATATTCTTATTGGATAACTCCACCATAGTTGTAAATTGGATTGTTCTGTTGTCTGTTCTATTGCAGGTGATCGTAATGACTTATCATTGGGTTATTCAGTCAATAATTAGTAAAAGCAATAAATCCGCTGTAAAGCCTGTCTCAGTATACCATTTTAGTGTTTGGACAGATTGCAGACGCAGCAACTCCAAGATCAAGTATTACTAACAAATACGCTATATTAATGGTTTTACTTTACTCCCTTTATCTACCTATGATTTAATACATTGCTACTACGACTTGTCTAAGTAGTTATAGTAGCGATAAGGTTATGAATTATTACCTTAACAATAAGAATAGAAAACTTCCGTGAGCACATTGTACTTAATCGATATCGAATAACCCCTGTAACTCCGCTTTCCGACCGTATCTATTTATTTATCTTAAGTTACTCAATAAGAGTAAATAAATAAATTCATTTAAGAAAATAGCTTTAAAAATCCTATTTTCTCCATAGGATAAAATGCTAATCAAATGAGTAGATATCCGTAAAAACTGTAGTATAGCTTATAAATTTGCCAAGATTCCATCTTGATATCCGGCTTTCAGATCCTATAGCTGTTGTAGCTTATTGTAACTTCAATGGCCTTTGCTATTGAATTAATTTCTCCTACTTGTTGTAGTTGTAAGTTTATATGAATCTGTTACCATGTAACGAAGTAAATTATTATTATTTCAGATTTGATATGAGAGAAATAGCTGTTAAAGACTTTGCTAATCCCCGATCAGATTCCATTATACAGTAATTCATTGAGTATTCAAATGCTAAGATTAGCTGGTAAAATAATTTCGATCGAAGCACCATGCCGTCGGTTACTTTCAAGCAAAACTGATCATTTGTACCCGATTAAAGCTTTGAGACAGAGCAGAAGCGATTGTTTTAAACCTCTATCATGACACTCAAAAAGTACTTGATATCACTTCTCCTCAGCCAAGCTTACTAAAATTAAAAACAGACTGACGACGAGTCTAATTCCGATTTTTACTGTACATAATACGCATTCTGTATCCATTTTATACACTATACTGTATATTATTTACCTGCGATACTCGGTACTACTGTACTTTAGATCGAGAAAAAATACAGATTAGTTCTACAGAATGGATCAAAACCAAGTTATGTCGTGACACTGTTTCTGTATCCAACGCTAAAGACCTTGACATCGAACGGATATCCTCCAAATATACAGTAATTGACTGACCAAGAGCCAAAATGCGGCAAAAAATGGCTTCTGTGCGTGTGTGTATAGCAGACGAATATTACTGTATACGTAAACGATATAAACATATGAGTATTGTATGCTACACCATGGACTATTGGAAGAAAACCTAGGTTTCCTCTTAGTAGTCCATAGCTATACGTGCTTTACGCTGGAATTTCACTAGTATCACTTTTACCTCTGGATTTTAAATTGGTATACGTTTTTATACGCGTGCATTCACTTTGAATGCGTGTAAACTGTACGATTCCATCTCCTACGTTTAAGAATTGTTGATGATAAGGCAATACCGCCAACAGTACAATGCTATCCACACGCGTGTAGAACAGATGTCATGAAATAAGGTTTTGTTTGCAGCATAGTGTAAAGATTTTCTGCCTCATTGACATACTTTTTGAAGCAATGAAAGTTTTTCCACTCCACGCAAAATGGCGACAAGAAAATTTTCAAACTCTATCATGCAGTATTTTTAAATCTCTTCGACAGTGCTGCGCATGCGTAACATACAGTACACTACATTACTCGTACAGTACTTTATTACAGTACTGTGCACTGTAATGTACTGTCTTTGTACTGTACGCCGTTGTTGTCAATGGCTACGGCGAATACAACCCGAGTTAAAACTAGTGCTGGATGCTACAAGTCAATAATAAGTTAAGTAATTCGTACCTTAAAGTACATTAACATACAGAATCGCCTTACTTGAAAAGTAAAGAGTATAGGTTTGAAGGTAGATTAATACTCAAGGCAAGGCGTTTTATCATTCGTTAAGTAGTTTATTGTGACCTTGGCGTATCGTAGTAACGACGATGGCGACTAGGATATCTTTCGGCAATCTCCAAAGTAATTCACAATCCCCTACAAATAGCTATGCTAGAAAAAGTATTACCGAAGAGAATGACTCTATCAAAAATCTTGATACTGAGGATGATGATAGTATTTATGAAAAATTCAAGTAAGTCATGATGTGGCCTCTTTGCATTGATTTAGACGATACTCGGCGAGTACGTTTCCGATAGCTGCTATACTATTCTACTTTAGGGACAGCATTCAATTGATAAATTACATAATTCATCTTGATATTTTTATTGAGTAATGAAATACTACTACTGCATGCAAGTTTTATAATGCACTAAAACATACTATAAGAAAGGGCATCTTGATTAAGTGTTTACTACAGTGTTAATAAAATCTTTCAGCTACCTTATCATACTATCAATTTAAAAAATTGCAGCTTATAATAGGGTAAATTAGATAGGATAATATTAAAATAGATTGTCTTGATTAGTCCGAATAAATATTATACCAACAGTTATCAACGATCAGAAAACTGCCAGTACTATACAATGCAGTTAATACCAAATCAATTCCCATTCAATATGACTTAACTAAACACCGCTATATTTTTAATGAATCAACTTTCCTTACCACCAAAAGAGGAATATTTGTAAATTATCGTTCTTTTCGTTTTTAGATATAGTTTATAACCATTTAGAATCTTAGTCATTAATAAATAACGATATACTATACATGAAGGTCACTCTATTTCATTTCACATTATTAGCCCTTTCTGTATGGCTGTGTCTGTTATCGCCTACTATGCATTGTCGATACTTTAATTTCTTTCAAAGATGACTATCTTTCACCTATTTTACATTTCTAATCATAAATGGATATTTTAATATCAAAAATATAAATCATTATCGCAAAATTATAAATTTGAGTGTTTATAACGAACTAGCATCATCCCCTGCCGACCCATATTATATTATTTTAAGTATCACACTATTCCAGTAATTGATATAAAAGTTTCAGTATAGCACGCGCAATAATGAATTTTATTTATTATGCATTTGTATATAGCGACAAAACGATGGCTACACGCTAATGGAAGCATGTAACCACAGAAATCATACACCTTTACTGATTAAAGGGAATTACAGTAAATAATGTGCCGTTGTTAATATAATTCTAATTCGCTGTACTATAGACCATCTTTGGCTGAAGACTATAAAGCTGGCTTCTTTTATAAAGATATTGCTACACAAACCGAAACATCAGAAATTGTTGATATCAAGGAAATGACAACAGTAGTACAAGATTTAATTGAGGTAAAAATTTATAAAGGACATAACTGGGACTATCTCTACCTTTGATGGCGCGTCTAGTATGTTCTGTCATAACTTTGCTCTTGAAATAGAACATATAAAATTTAAGGATTAAATTGCATGCAGTAATTTATTAAGATATAACTAAATAGATGGACATTGTGCATCATCTTGTTATTCAAGCTAACAAATGTGTTATAACGTGGTATTAGAATTATTCTAAATCCATTAAAGTCAATAATTAATTACTTATACTACCATGAAACATTTGTTGCCTAATTAGGAGTTAGACCGATTGAAAAGAGAATTTCGTTTGACTAAACATAATATGCTAGCAGATTATGAAAATAGATTAGAACAGCGTTCACTAGAATTGTAAGTACACCTATACTTTTTCTAATCGATACATGAAATTAAACTTGTTATGATCCTATATCCGTAATGCCCTACTATTTGATTGTAAATTAACTCTTTTTCCTCTATCAATTTAATTGTTGTAGATATTGTCGCGTTAATGATAAAGTGGAAGAATTAGAAAAACTTCATAAACAGGTAACCAAGATTATTCTTGAAATGAGGCTGATTATTTGTATAAGTTCTGAAAGTAGATGTTAAATATATTACTAAGTTACTTAAAATATCGCTTTTACTTTGATTGATATAGAGAGTTGAAGTCGTCAGGCATAGTTGTCGGCAACAACTATCGAATGCTATCAAGCAAATTGCAATCGATCATAGTGATTTTTTCGATGATCAGATAGAGGCAGAGACTGATCGATATAAGAAAGCAATTAAAGAACTTGAAGAACAGTATGTTATCAGTTTGGTAGCTAAAGTCAATAAGTCAACTTTAAAGATACAGATACCAATTTAATCTACAAATCTCATGAAAGTGATCTATACTGTAAGTTATCTGAACTATAAATCAATTCTAATTAGGATTAAAGACCTTATCGATGATGCTGGTGACGATAATGATATTATTAAACGATTACAACACGAGTTGGAAGAAGCGCGCCAAGAGGCTCAACATAACCAAATGTTATATGAGGTATTACATTCGATTAGAATTCAAAAATCTTATTTAGCGCAATTCTTTACCTTCCTTTAATCGTTCGGAAAGCAATTTTTGATATTTTATATCCCTATGTTTCTTTTCAATTTTATAAACGGATAAAGGCTGCCGCAGATGCTCCTCTACCTCCAGAACCTGATAATACAGAAATTGAAGAATTAAATGCTATAGTCAACAAGCTAGAAGAAAAGATTGATGAGATGGCAAAAGAGATAGATCGAAAGAAAAGAGAAAAGAGTAAAATATGTAAGATGTTATTATTATTATACATGCGTATAGTTGTTAATCGAGTCAATCGAGATATTAATGGCGATGTTAACTTATCATTTAAATCGGTAAAACTCATTTATAATCAGTCATTTAGTTAGCTTGTCAAGTAGGATAGGCTACACGCAAAATAATAATTTATCACAGGAAAAATTTAAATCAATAGATAGCTCAATCTGCTTAAAGCAGCGAGTAACACAATAAACTGATATTGTTTCGAAATTTAGCTTTAGAGAAGGATTTAGTTACCGAAGCTCTGAACAAAGAGCAACTGAAAGTTCGTCAGGTTAGTTATTAGCTTATGAATAGATAGCTATTCAAATGAGCTTCTTTGCAGATTTATATCTCCATTTGCCGCTAATGCCATTTAAATACTTCTAACTGCCTTTGATATTCTAATAAGTTAATTTTATAAATATTAGCTGCAAAATGAAATCGATCTAATCAGAGCAACTAGTGAGAAAGAAAAAGAAAAAATTATGGAAACTGTAAGAGCCAATTTGTTAACAAATTAGAAATCAGTCGTTATACAGTGAACATTCTACAGCAGTTTACTATATTTTACCAATAAAATTTACGTACACAGTTTTTCATTTATTCTCATATCCAATGTAGTTTAGTGAAGAAAAGAAGCAACATGAAAAAGATATGAAACGCCATATTGATAAAATTACGCAGGATGTAAGATTCACACTAAGCGAGCTATTTTGGCTTAGGATTTAGATAAATAAAGAGATTAAAGCTAAGCATTTGATTGCTTTTAATTATTAGATGAACGAACAGATAGAAAGAGAACGATCTGCGTTACAATCCCGTGAAAAGGAAGCTTTCAATGCGGCATTATCTCAAAAGAAAATTGCCGACCGACGATTACTGATGGTTAGCCAAATATAAAATAAACATAACTGGTCCTCTATTCAGTAAATTCGAAATATTAAATATCTATGTTTTTGATCCAATCACTCAATAGGAAAGGATTGAACGTAGTCCTGTTACTGCTGACGATAGATTAACGATCCAAAAGTTAGAAGGATTAGTACAGCGGCAACGAAACGAAATCATCAGGTAAAGCTATAAAAAAAGTGAAGTAGCTATTTTGTAATAGCATAATATTGTATGAATCATAGAGGCAAACAAAAATTTGGGTTTGCTTATCACTTGATATTCTAGGTCAATGAGTACATTAGCATTTATCAATCAGCTTTCTATAATGTCTAGTAGTATAATTGTCAAAATAATGATGATATGATGTTTATTTAGACTGGAAAAGGAAATACGAAGAATCAATATGACATGGGAAAAGAAAACGACCGTAATTCAGCAAACGTAAGCTCGCTTTAATTTTGACCCTATATTATTCCGAATCAATATTTATTTCATGATGTTAACGAATACCTACTTAAAAGATATCTTATGCTATAATTGTTTACTTTAGTATGATGGCACTAAAAAATGAGAGCTTTTTAAGGGCTTCGCTTCAGCGTCAAGCAGCAACATTACATCCTGCTGGTGTCGCCTACTTGGTAATCCTAATGGATTTTATTAATATTCAGACGTTATGACACACTCCTAAATGCATTCTAGGATGTTATATTTAGTAACACTAAATTTAATTAACTGTTTTTGGAGAGTCACGATATAGAATAATTAACGGTCAATACCCTACCCTAAATGATTTATTATATTATAATTGATAAACAATCCATGTTATCATTTATCGAGATTTAATACTGTATGCATGATCATATTACTACTACATGAAATGAAACCGATGCAATTGGGTAAATCGGGCTAAGCTAAGCTATATGTAATCACTAAGACAATTCAGTCACCAGATAAAAAATTAATCTACTTATCAAAAGTGTACTATCTGGTTAAAAGGTGTGATTTTTCGTTAACTGCTTAACTCGTATACAAGACTGATAGATATTTTAATGAAGAAAAAGTGAATTAAGCACTGCATTTATTTATTAGGTATTTTAATATCGATAATATCAATACTAATGATGATCCGTCTGCTGGTTATTCGATTACAGGTTGATAATAACAATTCAACTGAAACACATAAAAAGCCACTGGTACGATTCTAGCGCGTACATATTCGGATTATAAATTATATTATAATTCTCTACAAATTTAAAAATCTTAATGTGAAAATTTGATAAGATAACCTTAGCTAATCTGTGAACCACTTCTTGGTCGGTCATTAATATCCATCTAAAAAATAAAACTGTGCCTAATTTAAATTACTTTTATTTATAGCCAAATATTCGTCAAGAGCTGCCGCAATCTGGGGTTCAGTCCGGGGTTCAATCTGGGGTTCAATCTGAATGGCTTACTGATCAATTGGCCAACAGTAGTAAGTAGACAGACTTATGTAGAGTTATGTTGGGATATTCTAATTAGGAATTTTTTCATTAACGCATAGGTTATATCACTTTAACTCTAACTCATAAAGTAGTCAGGGTCGTATAGTAACTTGCTGTATTTCTTTTAATTTAAGTTATGTAATATGATTCGGTATTAACGATGACAACTGTTCCGTTTACAGTAGAAAAAGCTGGCCCGGAATATTTAGATGAAGAGTATCCTATTTTTGACTTGGGACGAAGACAGTCCGTAGCTGGGTAAGGCTGTAATCATTATTCTGACTCCATATGGTTATAACATATTGCCGAGAAATGAAATATTATAATAATATCCTATACTATTTAATGTAAAATACTATCGAAGTAAAATTTCTATTTCTTCCATTAGTGACACCGCCAGTAACGCTGAGGATAGCCTTAGCGCAAAACTTGCACCACAAAACCAGACATCAGTTGGAGTTAATTCCTAGAAAATCGCACTGAACTTGCCTAGGATGGGATATGAATTCATCAGACAGTAGTCCATTTAAACTTAACAATTTTATGCATAATCTTTGCTACAGGAAAGCTGACATAATACAAAAATCAGACGAATTCCTGTATTAGGTAAAGACTGTAGAATGGAGTGCCTATGAACTCTAATTCATTACAATTGTTGTATAATATTTCGGATTAGTCTTGTATATAAAACATTACTCCTTAGGTAGACAATTTAAAATATTGATACTTCTACCTGTGTAATATAAATTCATATAATTTTATATTACTTGGATCAGCTTTGCTTGTAATGAATGAAGGCTTAGTAGACATAGATAGAGATATTTACAATTGATAACTAGTTGAGTTCCTTCACTGTACATTTTTATATAACGCTTTTCTTAAGGAAATGCTTATTTTTTTATACGATATCCATGAAATTGAGTAATTTAAATAAACAATTTGGCAGCTAATATTAGTTTTGTGATCTATAAATCGTGAACTGATTTAAACATCTTTTAGAATGGGTTTAGACTTAGCGCTCGTACTGTAGATCCATTTATGACAAATTTAATATTAATCCTCATTCAAGGCTAAAAATGGCTTAGGTTCATCTACTTTTGACATCTGATATATCAAATTACTTTAATTCTTTTATGCTTGACAATGCCGGATAAAACTAATTAATTTACCCGTAATCTCTTTACCCAAAACCCATATCATTAATAATTTCAACATCAGGATGATCACAAAACTTGAAAAACAGCTTTAGGATTTTCTCAATTCTACAATCATTGATGATTAATTATTAAAGATAGGAAATGAAGCATGTAGTCTTGAGATTTTATTATTGCTTGTTATGCTTAATATCAATATACTCGTGTAAATAAATTATCATGCTAGTGTATAATACTTATCCATCTACACTGATGCTATAGTATTCTAGTAAACTACGGTACTCGATCAAATTAAATCATAGAGAATTCTATCGCGTCTACAAGTTTAGTTTATAGTTTCTACGTGCTGTTTAAAGCACTAACGATTACCAATGGAATGAAAAAAATTGAATCACTTCGAAACTCTATTGATCTTTCCTATGATTAGTATATAGATGGCATTTAGGAGCTAGCACAATCAGAGAAACTGCTTTAATCAATCCAAACTGACTTCATTTTGCCTAGAAGAATACTCGATAAATTCTTCCATCATGGTAATCGTATTAGGATTATTCAAGTTTAAGAAATGAACTACTTTAATCCCAAGTTTCCAATATTATTTGCTCTACTGCTAATAATTGCATTGCAAATAATAATTCAGTCAGTATAGTCTACTAGCCTTGTTCTTATTAACCAATTATAAAATTTGTCACTTTTCAATACCCCGAATTAGAGAAACCTGTTGGATTGTACTTCAATCCCTATTTCTCGATCCAGTTTTTTGGCTGATAGAACAGCTTTATTGCTGTCTTCTATAGTAATTAAACATTAATCATACGGAAATACCTTTTGGATTAATCAGAGATTAAGGTATTGAATTTTAACTATGATCACGATGCTTTATCCAAGAGGTTAAGCAATTAGTATATTTTGATTCATACCTACGCTAGAGTTGACTAGATCGTCTAGCAGAATATTAACTTATAGTAACATTCTACTGCCATAGTTTGTCTATTTAAACGTATTCAATTACTATAAGTTTCTTTCGTGAACCATTCATGAGCAATGCAAATATGATCTATATCCAGATACTAGGAGGAATTTTACCTCATACCTCCTACTCAATAATAGCATGATAATAAATGTTGATTTTAGATGTTATTCAACAGCTGTTCCATTAAATGCCAGTCGACTGGATGATACAATTGGATAAACTCTGTATCATTTCCAGTAATCATTATTACTTCCAACCTCCATCTAGGAGTAAATGCTGCTATTCAGTACCATTCTCCTCTCTATCTGGTCTTTTAGTACCATCACGACGACGTTGACAATAAGATATTTAACCCAATCCAAAATTAATTATTCCTTTCTTAGCCATCTAGTTGTAGCCAAACCACTTGAATGACCTAAAAATTATCCTTATTCGGAAGAATTTTATAAATAGATGGAGATAACTACCATGGGTTATTAATGTCTTCTCTTATCGAATTTATGCTTGTTGTAGTTCAAGGTTATTGTGGTAAAAGACTTGAATTTTCGTATCATGGCCGGCATTAATAAATTAGAAATTAACGATATTATCGAACACTATATTGCAAATCAATTGCAAATTAAATTACAAGACGATGCATCTAAAAATTATGGAGTAGATAGCTTGAAAAGTAACGATCCAAGCGCTTACTACCAACTAGGCTATGTCTACCAATATGGACTAGGATCGACTAAAAAAGATGCCATGAAAGCATTTTATAATTATAAAATTGCGGCTGAAGGAAATCATCCTGGCGCTCAATATACTGCCTATCAATTATATGGTACTAGAGAAGGCGGCAGAACATCCGATTGTGTACGGATTGTCGATGAAGAAGAATTAATTCAATTAAAGTTACACATGTATCTTAAATCGGCGTCGCAAGATCCATGGTTTACCCGAGCCCATGACGAATTATGGAGTCATTATAAGCGCTCAAGTCATTGGAAAAGAGCACTAGAAGAAACTCGAATTAATTACTTGAAAAAATTACAGTCGATCGACCAGTTATCCAATCAAGAAGCTGGTCAAATCTACAACGAATTGGGTTATATTACCTTACAATTGACTAAATATAGTAATAACCAAGATTACAGTAAAGCGTTAAATTATTTCGAGCGTGGAGCACAACTTGGTAATTCCTCGGCTTATTTTAACTTGGGTGCTAAAATGTATCGTAATGGCTTAGGTGTAACTAAAGATCGGCATAAAGAAGAAGAATATGAGCGTAAAGCGGCGCAACTTGGCCATCCAAGAGCTCAATTTTATCTTGGCTGTTTGTTATTTGGCTATTTATCCGTTGGTCATGAAGAAGATTTAATTAAAGCTTATAAATATTTCAAGCAATCGTCCAAATATAATTATACCGTGGTCGGTTACTATCTTGGCTTATATAATTTACTTGGCATTGCTGGTGTTAAATCCAACGTCCAAAATGCTATTAAATTATTCCAAACTGCAGCTGTTGCTCATGACTATACCAGCGATAAAAGTAATGAATTAGCATTGCAAATTTTAGGCTTTATGTACGAGAAAGGCATCGGTGTCGGTATCGATTATTCATTAGCAGCGCATTACTATGCTAGTGCTGCTAAAATGAATTACTTTCCAGCGTATATTAAATTAGCAAAATTAGTAGAGAAGAAAAAGGTTTCTCCATCCTCATTTGATTCAGCTATAAAATTATATGATTATGCTGCTCGTTCAGATGATGAATCTTATTCTGGTCATGCAAAATATCGCCTAGGGAAAGTCTATACGAAAGCGGCAAGTACTTTACTGAGGAATTCCGAGAAAGGATTTCGATTTTTCGAAACTGCCATACAAAGCTATCGAAATGCTTTGGAAAAGCAATGGTTTAAACAAGTTCGCATTCATTACCACTTAGGTGTTATGTATATGAACGGATATGGCGTTAAGATAAATCCTGAACAAGCCATTGAGCATCTCAAGAAAGCCATGAGGAAAGCGCAAAAAACTTACATTCTATACGACAACCACTACGGTAGAAAAGCTAAGCAGAAGTTGGAAAAGCTAGTTCGTTCCATGCCCAATAAAGAACATATCCTGGATTCCATTAAAGATGTTCAATTTGTTACAAATCACGGACGTCGTGTTAGCAGTAGCAGTAGTAGGGGTAATTGCTTTATACAATTCAATTGGATGGTTTTTCGACTAGATTGCAAGAGTAGATTTGAGCATTCTTTCTGCTAAACATGATTTTAATATAATTTACGCCTAATTCTTTCTCACTATAGCGAAATCCAGTCGTAGTAGGTTAAACTAGATAGTATTATCCTTTTCCACGTTCAGTTTGAGAATTGAACGGACATGTTTACAAATTCATCACACCAGACCAATGATTCATTGATTTGCAGATTATCCATTAAATCAGTTAACTTACTGATTCATTTTGTGGTGTAAACGAAAATAAAAGTAAAATAGATTACTTGTGCATTTCCTATTAAATCGACCACTTGCATGATCAATTTTACCAAGAGAAGTTAGGGCAATATCTCATTAATCTTCTTTCAAATGGATAGCTCAGCTGTCAAATACGTGCATTATCAATTTAGTACTGAAATGTGCAAGATTGTGCATACATTTTCTTTCAAATTGGTAGCTCAGTTGTCGACTATCGGTATTAGAAAACTGGTGGAAAAGTTAAATCGATTACCTACCCATTTTCTTTGATATTAGCTAACTCTACTGTCTCATTTTTTATTCATCTATTGTAGAAAGTCTCGTCAGCAAGGATAACTCGCTGAAAAGAAAATCAAATCAGAATTTAGCCTCGCGTGAAAGCAGACTAAGTGTTAATCAAGGTAATCCTTCTTCTATCATTTGAGTTGGAATAGCGTAATGCCTATATAATCAAAAGAACTACTTTCAAATTTATAACTACTGTTTATACCTCGATGGGCCGTTATTTATGATAGGAGTTTCTTTTATCATGTACTCGCACTGTAAACTCTACAAGTTTTTTAATATCGCTATATTGTCCATTTACCATTCCAATAAACATTCAAGGATTAGTATCCGTTTAAATGGTATTTCTTCTATATTCAATTAAAACTATTGCATTTTTCTTCGCTATGGTTAATTTAATGAGCAGGAAAATAAATGAATTATACTTTAATAGCAGTAATGGATCATTTAATCCAATATTTTTCTTGCCCTGGACTTATGATAGCCAATGTATCACAGAAATAGATACATTCCAATTCAGTTAGCTGGCATCATATTTAATGGATTATTGCTGTGTCTATCTCGTGATGACAGTCCATATTATATTAAAATAATC